AAAGACTTCTGAGTTCTGGTGCATTTGTGCGTGCGGGGGTCACTATGTTACTGCTATGTGGTATCTAGTTCTAATAATTCTTATATACATATATTATAATATAATTTGTCATTAACTTATATATGTATATTATAACAATGTCATATGTGTCATTCTGCTGCAAACATTTTCTGCATGCTAATCCAAACTTGGAAGTCTAAGTTCCCATATGCAGTCTAGTATTAGTTTGTTTTAGATCAGATAAAATGTTTTTTAACAGCACATCAACACAACTTTTTTTTTTTAAATACGTGCTTCAACATGATTAAACTGCATCTTCTTTTTCTTTTCCACCCCTCCCAAAAAACCATTACCATATATTGTTTTATATAATTGATATAAATCTGTTTTAAAGCTGTTCTATTATAGCAGCTCTTTCACTCATAATCTAAAAAAATATTTTGTACGCTGTTAAAATATGCAAATCAAATTAAAACAAAACTTTCCCCAAACATTAATACAAACATTTTGGTGTTTATTTTTTATCACTATGATGTCCTTAAATGAGTCTTAATGTTTTTTTCTTTAAAATATTAGGAAGATGACAAATCTGTGCTGGCTTAAAAATCTTTTAACAGGTTACTATTTATTATAATGTCTTAACAAATATTTATTGACGGTTATCTTGTTTACTATTCCACAGGAGTTCAAAGAGTTTTGTCCTGATGAAGAACTTGTAAAGGACAATGACAGTGATGACGGWTGGAGTCCATTGTTTTCAAAACCACAGGTAAGCCTTATTTCAAGTTTGAATTTTTGATTATCTATAGATCACTTCTTAAGTTTTATAACTTCGCCGTTTCTTTTCTTGTTTTTCAGAAATACAGATCAAAGCCATTTTGCTGTGCTGAGTGTTCTTTTTCTTCCAAATACTACTCAGGCTACAGGAATCACTTTCGCAGTGTGCACCGAAAGCTTTTGGACGATCAAATTCTTCTCAACTGTCCTTACTGTTCGTTCATTGCCAACAAGAGAACCCTGGAGATGCATGTCAAGATATTCCACGTGCCCAGTTCCAAACAGCAGGTTTACACAAACTCACAAGGAGCAGTGCTGGGAACAAAAACAAGCCTCTCAAATGCTGTACAGAAAGTGGAGAAAGCCATGTACGTCTGCACAAAGTGCTCATTCCGGGACTCTTTCTACAATGTTGTTAAAAGACACGTTTACAGGGAACATTTTCGGCAAGTTGTCTCACCGTATTTCGGTAAGGTTTCTAAATTTACTGTCAGAAATGGTGCTTCTGTTAATGGAAACAACATCTTCTGTAAGCAATGCCAGTTTTCCACTCGAAACTACGAGGTTTTAGTGCAGCATGTTTTGGAGTACCACGAACGCATTGGTGCGCAGGTAACAAGCATGATTGCGCATGCTAATGTTTTAGTACCAGTGCCTCAGCCTTTTCCCGGAGTGAATCAGAAAACTCAGTTGGTTAGCAGAGGTGTCACTCAATCTGTTGCAAAACCTGTGATTGGCTATTTAAAACCAGCGACACTTGCAGGCAGAAATCAGTCCATCATTCAAACCAGTCAGATGAGCGCCATGTCTCCTGCCAGCAGCATTGTTAAAAATAATCAAACTGGTGTGAGCACATCCAAAACACAGAAATGGAAGATATGTGCCGTTTGCAATGAACTATTTCCTGAAAACCTCTACAGTGCTCATTTTGAGAGTGCTCACAAGGCAAAAAAAGTTTGGGCACTTGCCAAGTACATTGTGAAAATCCACAACTTCACCAGCAAGTGTTTGGTTTGCAACCGCTATCTGCCCAGCAACACACTTCTTAACCACATGCTAATTCACGGCCTGACCTGTCCACAGTGCCACTCCATTTTCCACAGTGTTGAGAAAATTATGAGCCATGAAGCCCTGAGCCACCCAGGTGAATTTGTTGGCCCCCCTGATGGAACGCCCCTAACTTTCGATCTAACCATTAAACAAGGTATAACCAGAAACATTCAGCTTGTTGTTCTCACATTTAACATGAACGATTCGGTCAACGGCCAGGATCTATCTGTACTTCCCATCCAAAATATTCCTCCACCTGGCAGAGTGCCCTCTGCAAAAATGACCAAGTACAGCGACTCACAAGATTTGGCTTCAGTCTTCCACAACACTGATGTTAGGAAAACTGTATGCCCACTGTGTTTAACTGTCATCAAAGCTCCCATCAAAGATGCCTTAGCCCTGCATCTGAGGGAGCAACATCAAGTGCTCCAAACCTTGCATCCCGTGGAAAAAAAGATGACATACAAGTGCATCCACTGTTTGGGTGTGTACACTAGTAACATGGTAGCATCCACAATCACACTGCATCTCGTGCAGTGCAGAGCTATTGGTAGGACCCAAGTCAGCCAGGGCTTGAAGTCTGCCATGGCTCTCAACTCATCAGGGGCTAGTGCCCTTAAGAGGCGGCTACCAATACAGGGAGCTCCCAATGCCAAGAAGACAAAGACGGACAAAGGAAGTGAAACATCCTTTGAAAATAGCGGCCTCGCTCTGGATGCTAAGGGCTATGGGAACAAAACCTATTTGGCTAAAAAGGAGTTCCTGACATCTTACTTCAACTTGCGACCATACCCAAGTTCTGATGAAGAGCTAAAGTTGTGTACAAGTTTGAATATGTGGAGATCCGAGGTTGCGAGCCACTTTGCATCAAAGAGAAACATATGTGTCAGGAATTGTAAGATGACCAAGGCTTCAGTGAAGCTAGGCTTTAACACGAGAGCTCTAAAGAAGGTAAAACATCACTTGATCTTTGAGAACGGGAGGATAGTTGGCACCTCAACTGTGAGGTCTGCAGGCTGCAGGTCAGCTCCTCACTCAAGACCAAGGCCAGGCAACCTACCAAAACGCAACACATGCACAGAGACCATTTCCATTGACTCAGACTCTGAAGAAGAATCAAAGAAACCAACTGAGAACAAAGACCAAGAAAACCAGACAAARGTCACAAATCTGGATAACACAGATAATCCTTCAGCAGAGAAGAGCTCTTTGGAAGATGGGAAAGAAAATGTTTGTGTGATTGATGAATCAGAGACGCCACCTGCTGAAAATGTGGAACTGAAAGACCAAACGGACCCGGAAAAAGAGACGAACCATGAGGATGCTGTTGAACCTTCAGCAGAGATGAGCTCTTTGCAAGATGAATCAGTCACACCACTTGATGAAAATGTGAAGTCTAAAGACCAAGAAAACATAACAAAAGACAAGGAAGCAGATGATTCTTCAGCAGAGGAGAGTCCTTTCCACGATGGGAAAGAAAATGTCTGCATGGCATTTGAAACAGCTGAAGCACGTTCTGAGAACATGAAATCCAAAGATGGAGAAAACCTGACAGAAGAGGCAAAGGGTGAGAGCTCAGATCATCCTTCAACAGAGGAGAGCTCTTTGCGAGATGGGAGAGAATATGTCAACATGATGTTTGAAACAGAGACGTCACCTGAGAACATGGAAACAGAGACGTCATCTGAGAACATGGAGTCCAAAGAACAAGAAAACCTGGCAGAAGAAGCTAAATATGAGGATATAGATGATCCTTCAACAGAGGATAGCTCTTTGCAAGATGGGAAAGAATATGTCAACATGATGTTTGAAACGGAGACATCACCTGAGATTATGGAGTCCATAGACCAAGAAAACCTGGCAGAYSWAACAAAACATGGAGATATAGATGATCCTTTAACACAGGAGAGCTCTCTGCAAGATGGGAAAGAATATGTCAACATGATGTTTGAAGCAGAGACGTCACCTGAGAACATGGACTCCATAGACCAAGAAAACCTGGCAGACGAAACAAAACATGAGGACATAGATGATCCTTTAACAGATAAAATGTTTTCGCATGATGGGGACGAGAATGTCTGCATGACCTTTGAAACAGAGATGTCACCTCAGGATCTAGAGTCCAACCACCAAGAAAACTTGAACCAAGAGACAAATCATGAGGACACAGATGATTCTTCAACAGAAATGAGCTCTTTGCAAGATGGGAAAGAAAATGTCTGCGTTACGTTTGAAACGGAGACAACACACGAGAACATGGAGTCCGAAGACCAAGAAAACCTGACCGAAGATGATGAACATGTGGACACAGAAGATTCTTCAATGTAGAAGAGCTTTTTGGAGAGAAAAAAAAAGACTCCATGAAAATTTAGTTTCCTGCCTGCTACTGGGCTCTTCTTAAACTGCAGTTAAGTTTTGAAAGAAATGATTAGGGCTGATAAAGTTCTGATTCACAGATGGTTGCTGCTCGCACAACTATTTAAAGAATACCCAGGCTCACCAAAACTCATCAGTTCTCAGTGCTGCACTTCTAAATACTGTTGGAGAAAATGAGAAACAGTTACATTATAGTGCATTTTGTAAGTGACAATGCATATATAGGCCTTGTTTTTCTGTTGTATACATTGATGTTTTGTTAGTTTCTTTGCATTTGTTTTAGCTGCTGAATTCTCACTTTAAATGGTTATGTCAGTTTACCTATTTCCATGTTTTCTCTCCTTTCCACATGTGACTAGCTTTTCTTTTTTCAGATCTAGACTGTAAAATATGTTAAAAGTTTATCTACATATTTGAATAAAACACTTCATAAAAGCCTGTTTGAATTATGTGTTTATAAGATTTGTACCAGGTATCAGAGATGAGAAAAATGACAGATGTGTGTTTTTGTATTGTTTCTCTTATTTAAAGTACTGCTTAATCTGAAGGGGGAACAAAGCTGTTGAGGTTTTGCTTTCTACTTAAATCTTTTTTGGAGGGATAAAAGTGACATATTTTGAACATATTTACAGGAAAGTTTTACATAGTCATTTTATTTATTATATAAATGGCACTGCATGTAGTTTACAGTAACATTAATATAAATGGAGAAAACAAAGCATAAAGCTTATCTCCATTGTGGTCCAGCACGTTTATTACATCAAATTCAATAAAATCACCCAATACAATAATTTATCTTTAAAAAATGAATTAATAAAATCATTAGTTTCTTGCCTGACTGACCTTGTTTAACTTGACACTTGAACAGGGGCTTACATAAATATACATTTTTTTAATAAAAGAAGAAAATGAAAAGCAATGCATTATGATGAAACATCAGTTAATAAAAATAAGTTTGAGGTTGATTTTATTTGTTAAAATGATTTATTTTAAGCAATTCAAAAAAGCTCGTTTACATTCGTGAATGTGAGAGGCCAAATGCAGTAGTATCCATAAATATGTACAGGAATCAAGTGTTTATATAATATCTATGGTATCTTTTTAATCAATGACTTGGTTATATTTGGCCTCAATTTCCGGTGTTTCCTAATCTCTGATTGGTGTAGGAGTGGGAGAGGGCGGGCCCTGTGACGATCAGTAACACTATAGGCCAGCAGCCAGCGTGCATCACGAAGTGGGCCACGGAGTATACAGCTGCAAAAATGTGTTTTCAGTCCCTTCTACATCATCCCCATAGCTGCGTGCTTACCTGGAAATAAAACTTTGTAGCAGCTGTAAGTATAACAGTCACAYTAATTATGTTTTAACCGATACCTGGTATGTAATTTGTACTTTGTAGTGCGTTTCTTGTGAACAGTTTAGCAGCTAGTTAGCATGTGAGGCTAACTCAGTCAGTGTGAAACTACGCAACTTGTAGCTGGAGCTGCCAGCGATGGAAAGTTGGCACCTAGACGCAGAGATCAGATAGGAAACACCTCTTGATGAAGTGTTATATTGGATCTTTTAATGGTGAGCAGCAGCTAATAATGGTGTATGCCTTTTTTTTTTAATCTGCTACAGTTTTCGTGATCGATTAATCACCAGTGAGCTTTTTGTCCACCTGAGAAATGTGTAAACAGTGACTGAACACGTCTGCATGAATCGGTCAAATTGCCAGATCAGTGTGTTTATTTAAGAGAATGATAAAGGTTAATTTGCTGGAGAAATCTGTAAATGTATGAATTGTTGTTCAAGGAGTTAAACCTATGTTATTATTATTG